ATAACGTGGGCCACCCCCCTGACCCACCCCCAGGGGGTGAGCCTAGCCTCGCAACCCCAGTGCCGTATTTGGTCACTTACCTCCGTTCACACCCACCTTTCCCCAAACCCAACAATCCACCCTTAACTATTTCTAAACCTATTCCCCCTTTTCAACGCTTTCACCAGTGGTAAGTACACTCCCTTTATTCAAGCGACAAAATGCCACCCGGCTTGCACAACCCATGTGGAAAAGGGGTATAAGTGGTAAAAGAAACGTAAGCGGCGCAACCCTTACCTTGCCCAGGATTGAATGGATTAACATTTGCCTGGGTCTCTGGCCCTCTCACCATGAGTGTACGATGCATGAGTGTGAATGACAGAGAAGTCACAAAATCCTTCCCAACATCCCACAAAACTTCCCCCCTCATTCATCCATCAATCTAAAGCTCCTCCCTATACCTGATCATGTCATAGAAGCTTGTGCAAATTCATGATAGCTGTGTACTAGGCAGTAGGCTGCTCAACTGTCAAATAGGGCCACTAGGTGCTCAACTTAAGTAGGGGCCCCGTGGTGCTCAACTGCAATAGGCCACGTAGGTTTCTCATTTAAAGGGCCCCGTAGGTGTCGTCAAATGGGGCCCCGTAGGTTGCTCAACTGTCAACTAGGGCCACGTAGGCTGCTCGAGTCAACTAGGGCCACGTAGGCTGGCTCACTGCAACTAGGGCCACGTAGGCTGCTCAACTGTCAACTAGGGCCACGTAGGCTGCTCAGTCAACTAGGGCCACGTAGGCTGGTCAACTGTCAACTAGGGCCACGTAGGCTGCTCATGTCAACTAGGGCCACGTAGGCTGCTCAGTCAACTAGGGCCACGTAGGCTGCTCAGTCAACTAAGGCCACTAGGCTGCTCAGTCAACTAGGGCCACGTAGGCTGGTCAACTGTCAACTAGGGCCACGTAGGCTGGTCAACTGTCAACTAGGGCCACGTAGGCTGCTCAGTCAACTAGGGCCACGTAGGCTGCTCAGTCAACTAGGGCCACGTAGGCTGCTCAGTCAACTAGGGCCACTAGGCTGCTCAGTCAACTAGGGCCACGTAGGCTGGTCAACTGTCAACTAGGGCCACGTAGGCTGGTCAACTGTCAACTAGGGCCACGTAGGCTGCTCGGTCAACTAGGGCCACGTAGGCTGGTCAACTGTCAACTAGGACCACGTAGGTTGCTCAGTCAACTAGGGCAACGTAGGCTGCTCGGTCAACTAGGGCCACGTAGGCTGGTCAACTGTCAACCAGGGCCACGTAGGCTGCTCAACTGTCAACTAGGGCCACGTAGGCTGCTCAGTCAACTAAGGCCACGTAGGCTGGTCAACTGTCAACTAGGGCCACGTAGGCTGCTCGGTCAACTAGGGCCACGTAGGCTGCTCAGTCAACTAGGGCCACGTAGGCTGCTCAGTCAACTAGGGCCACTAGGCTGCTCAGTCAACTAGGGCCACGTAGGCTGGTCAACTGTCAACTAGGGCCACGTAGGCTGGTCAACTGTCAACTAGGGCCACGTAGGCTGCTCAGTCAACTAGGGCCACGTAGGCTGCTCAGTCAACTAGGGCCACGTAGGCTGCTCGGTCAACTAGGGCCACGTATACATTTTGGCATGCTCGTCATCAACTAGGGCCACGTAGGCTGCTCAGTCAGTACTAGGGCCACGTAGGCTGCTCAGTCAACTAGGGCCACGTAGGCTGCTCAGTCAACTAGGGCCACGTAGGCTGCTCGGTCAACTAGGGCCACGTAGGCTGCTCGTTCAACTAAGGCCACGTAGGCTGCTCAGTCAACTAGGGCCACGTAGGCTGCTCGGTCAACTAGGGCCACGTAGGCTGCTCAACTATCAACTAAGGCCACGCAGGCTGCTCAGCTGTCAACTAGAGCCACGCAGGCTGCTCGGTCAACTAGGGCCACGTAGGTTGCTCGGTCAACTAGGGCCACGTAGGCTGCTCGGTCAACTAGGGCCACGTAGGCTGCTCAACTATCAACTAGGGCCACGCAGGCTGCTCGGTCAACTAGGGCCACGCAGGCTGCTCAGCTGTCAACTAGGGCCACGCAGGCTGCTCAGCTGTCAACTAGGGCCACGCAGGCTGCTCAGTCAACTAGGGTCACGCAGGCTGCTCAGCTGTCAACTAGGGCCACGCAGGCTGCTCAACTGTCAACTAGGGCCACGCAGACTGCTCAACTGTCAACTAGGGCCACGCAGGCTGCTCACTGTCAACTAGGGCCACGCAGGCTGCTCAGCTGTCAACTAGGGCCACGCAGGCTGCTCAGCTGTCAACTAGGGCCACGCAGGCTGCTCAACTATCAACTAGGGCCACGCAGGCTGCTCAGCTGTCAACTAGGGCCACGCAGGCTGCTCAGCTGTCAACTAGGGCCACGCAGGCTGCTCAGCTGTCAACTAGGGCCACGCAGGCTGCTCGGTCAACTAGGGCCACGTAGGCTGCTCGGTCAACTAGAGCCACGTAGGCTGCTCGGTCAACTAGGGCCACGTAGGCTGCTCAACTATCAACTAGGGCCACGCAGGCTGCTCAGCTATCAACTAGGGCCACGCAGGCTGCTCAACTGTCAACTAGGGCCACGCACGCTGCTCAGCTGTCAACTAGGGCCACGCAGGCTGCTCAGCTGTCAACTAGGGCCACGCAGGCTGCTCAGCTGTCAACTAGGGCCACGCAGGCTGCTCAGCTGTCAACTAGGGCCACGCAGGCTGCTCAGCTGTCAACTAGGGCCACGCAGGCTGCTCAACTATCAACTAGGGCCACGCAGGCTGCTCAGCTGTCAACTAGGGCCACGCAGGCTACTCAGCTGTCAACTAGGGCCACGCAGGCTGCTCAGCTGTCAACTAGGGCCACGCAGGCTGCTTAGCTGTCAACTAGGGCCACGCAGGCTGCTCAGCTGTCAACTAGGGCCACGCAGGCTGCTCAACTATCAACTAGGGCCACGCAGGCTGCTCAGCTGTCAACTAGGGCCACGCAGGCTACTCAGCTGTCAACTAGGGCCACGCAGGCTGCTCAGCTGTCAACTAGGGCCACGCAGGCTGCTCAGCTGTCAACTAGGGCCACGCAGGCTGCTCAGCTGTCAACTAGGGCCACGCAGGCTGCTCAGCTGTCAACTAGGGCCACGCAGGCTGCTCAGCTGTCAACTAGGGCCACGCAGGCTGCTCAGCTGTCAACTAGGGCCACGCAGGCTGCTCACTTCAACTAGGGCCACGCAGGCTGCTCAGCTGTCAACTAGGGCCACGCAGGCTGCTCAGCTGTCAACTAGGGCCACGCAGGCTGACTCAGCTGTCAACTAGGGCCACGCAGGCTGCTCAGCTGTCAACTAGGGCCACGCAGGCTGCTCAGCTGTCAACTAGGGCCACGCAGACTGCTCAGCTGTCAACTAGGGCCACGTAGACTGACTGCTCAGCTGTCAACCAGGGCCACGCAGACTGCTCAGCTGTCAACTAGGGCCACGCAGACTGCTCAGCTGTCAACTAGGGCCACGCAGACTGCTCAGCTGTCAACTAGGGCCACGCAGGCTGCGCAGCTGTCAACCGGTGCCAAGTAAGCTTCCTGGAGAGCCATGTACATGACCACGTCAACACAGGAGTGTCGTGTCAACTCAGGCTGGGGCTCAGATGGTGACGCTAACGCAAGACAAACCTGTCACACCGGAACACACCTGATGCAGTAGACAGAATGTACTAGCAGACACACAGACAGTAGACAGCATAAAGTAAATGCATAGACAGCCGAGTGGCATTAAGCCTCCCGTCAAAATATTACGTACTTTGACACATATATATATATATATATATATATATATATATATATATATATATATATATATATATATATATGTCGTGCCGAATAGGCAGAACTTGCGATCTTGGCTTAAATAGCAACGCTCATCTTGCCATATAGGACAAGTGAAAATTTGTGTATGCAATAATTTCGCCAAAATCATTCTGAACCTAACGAAAAAAATATATTTCACTGTGTTTGTTTAGCATTAAATTACTGTAAACATATCTAAAATATATTTAGTTGGGTTAAGCTAAAATAAATTGCTCTTGTTATAATAAGGTTAGGTAAGTTTTCTAAGATTCTTTTGGTGCAAAATTAAATTTTTTTACATTAACATTAATGAAAAAAATATCTTTAAACGTGTAAGAGAAAATTTCAGAAAGGACTTAATTTTAAATGAATTCTTGCTAATTGACCAGTTTTACATATTCGGCACGACATATATATATATATATATATATATATATATATATATATATATATATATATATATATATATATATATATATATATATATATATATATATAATCAGTGTATACGAACGTCTGTATGGCTCGAACCTCCGTCAGATGAGAGGCTCTTGATCCATGGAATTGGGAGGTATTCTTCCCTTTCCTCGGAACAAACCTGATTACTTCCCATTTACCAGGTGCTGCATGACCCCACCACCTACAGGTTTAGCGCTCTCACATCGTAGTAAATAAGTTGACAAGGTAATTAGGTCCAAATTATCATGATTACGTTGATTATATTAGGTAATTAGGTCCAAATGATCATAATTTCGTTATCAGGTCGCATTTATCATAATTACGTAATTATGCTAGGTAATTAGGTTCCAATTATAATTACATAATTATACTAGGTAATTAGGTTCTAATTATATTACATTATCCTATGTAATTTGGGTCCAATTATAATTACGTATATTAATTAGGTCCCAATTATCACAATTACATTGATAATACAAGTTAAATAGGTGCCAAATATTAAGCTGTTATATTCGTTCATTACATCTCAAATTACGTAATTATATCAAGTAATTAGGACCCAATTATCATTGCGTGATTATATTAGTTAAGTACAATTATCATGATTACGTAATTCGTTATGTACCAATTATCATAATTACATAAATTACATTAATTAAATAGGTACCAAATACAATTACGCAGGTACATCACATTAATTAGGTGTCACCTACCTTGTACAACTTTACGTAACGAGGGCAACTCGTCAGGGCGTGGGCTATGCCTGTGGGCGGGGGTGGTTGGCGTGGTATTGACCTGTGGGCGTGATAGCGACTCCCTGGCCCTCTGCTGGTTCAAGTGGGCGGTGGCCACACTATACGGGGGTGGCAGTGGGCGGTCTGAGTACGCAGGGGGCGGCTGGAGATGGGCGGGTTCCGCGGGCGGCAGATCGTGGGCGGAGAGGTATCTGGGCGGGACGCAGGTGATGACAGATGGGCGTGGGCGGGCGGGGGCTGGTAGATAGGTGGGTCGTGGGTGGTAGGGTGGTGGGGAGGGGGAGTTGGAGGTAGGGGCGTGGTGTGGGTGGCGTGTGGGCGGGGGGGAACGCCTCTTAATGGTCATATCCAGTGGGACGTCGTCATCCATGTAGCCGTGGGCGTACATGGGCGTCGTGGGCGGCGGGGAGTCAACCACGTTAATTTCGTCTTCACTTGAACACCCACGCTCAGGACTGCAACAAAAAATTAACATTAACAGCCTTCAAAACCCTATATCATTGATTTAACATCCTCTAACATCCTTCAAAATAATCTTAATATCCTTCAAATTCATCTAACATCCTTCAAAATTACCCTAACATCCTTGTGTACTGTATTCTTTATAATCATCCTAACATCCTTCAAAATCATCCTAACAGCCTTCAAAATCATCCAAACAGCCTTCAAAATCATCCTTTGAAGAGTACACACTCCACAACCTTCACATAACGCTTTTCAGCCTAATAACACGCACACAAAGGAGCTGTGAATCGACCCCTGCAACCACAAATAGGTGAGTACACACACAACACACGTACACACACACACACACACACACACACACACACACACACACACACACACACACACACCACACACACACACACACAGGTAGAAGATAGGGAGGAATGTAAGAGGAACAGCAAGAGAAGGAGAGTAATACAGGGAGGGAGGGAGAATAAGATAGGTTAGTAAGGAGAGTAAAGTAGGTAGATAATCTTTATTTCTACAAGTACATGATACAACTTATACAGACCATAGCTGACAACAATGACATACTACTATATAGAAAGTCCCTGGTTATATAGAGCATTTAAGGCAAATTAGGTTAATTTTGTTCCCAGGATGCGACCCACACCAGTCTACTAACACCCAAGTACCTACTTACTGCTAGGCGAACAGTGACAACAGGTGTCTTAAGAAAACACGTCCTAATGTTTCCAAGGCAAGGAAAGTAATGCAAGTAGGGAGGAAAGGGGGGGGGTAGTGAGGGTTGGGAGGGGGTGGTAGTAAGAGGTAATGAATCATCTGATCTACAATAAGTTACAATTAATCTTACAATCTCATTATCAGTGAGTCTGGCAGTGTTTATCTTCACCACTTGTGGTGTTTCTCACACATGACTCACCACCACCAATATGGCTGCCACACAACCACTCAGTACAACTGGGGTGACTGGCAGGCTACTGTTACCCACAACTATGACAAACACACGCAGAGAGAAACTACCGGTATTCACTAATCAGTTTCAATTGCATTTAGGCCGTGTTAAACCCAGATCTACCATTCTTTTATTGAAAAAATCATGGATATTAGTTTCTTTATGATCTGTGAATATCTCTCGTTCCTGCGTTATCTTTGTGTCATTCTGTGAAAAAGCTGTATCAAAACGGGAACAGAAGTACCTTTACCAGATCACTGGTAAACGTACATCAGCCATAGTGAAGGAAGGGCTGTTCCAGTAATATATGTAGTGTGCCAATTAATTTGTGATTATCTCGTAATATGTCTTAGTCTCCTGCTTAATTAATTTAGGTTCTTTTCTTTTCAGAAGAGCTTGCTACCGACTTCTGACAACCATCCAACTGTGGTGCTCCATGAGTGAATGTGGTTTCACCAAATTCTTCCCATAAAATTCATTATTACTGCTGAGAGTCATGATGGATGTTACACATGGAAAGCGTACAAGTATTGTAGTTCTTAGTAAACATGCTGATTTGAGTATCAGATAGATCACCGAAAATTTGAGCCTAACAAAGTCAACTGTTGGTCGGATTCTGAAGAGAGCTGACGAGACTGGTGTTGTGGAGCGCTGCGTCGAGGAACGCTTCACGATGACAAGGTTACCATAAGAAATAGTACGAAAGAGCCAAAGAAAACCAACAAAGATCAACAGAGATATTTGGCTTCAGCTGGCGTAAATGTCGATTCTTCAGCTGTTCGACGAAGGCTCCTTGAAGTTGGCAGAACTACCATATAATAGGTTAAGAAATAATTATAGACTGCCGATATGAAGAAAAAGTGGGTGCTGTGGGCACTCGATCACAAGGGATGGACGACAGATGAATAGGTGTAGATCAGTGGTAGTGAGACGGAGCAAAGGCGAACATCCTCGGAATGACACATTCAACAAGAGCCAAAACACCCACCTAAGATGTTTTGGTGTAGTTTTAATGGTAATGGTCCTGGACGGCTTGTTATTGTTGATTGAACGATGAACAATGTCAAATGCATGGCAATCCTGGCAACTCATTTGCTTCCCATTGTGGACAGACTCTCCTGACGGAGAAAGTATTTTCCATCAGGATCTTGCTCCATGCCACACTTTCAGAAAAAAATCTGACATTCTTCGAAGAGAGAGGCCTAAGCGTTCTAAACTGACCTGGAAACTCCAGACCTCAACGCACCTTAGAATCTGAGAAAAAGCCGAACGCAGGATCGCTGAACAGGACTGTTCAACTGTGGAGAAGCTAATTGCTGCTATTATTAGCACCTGGTATAACGACGTAAAACATACCAACATAGGGCGAGTCTATGCCAAAGCGTAGTAATGCTTATAAAAGCAGAGAGTAGTCATATCTCTTAAATCAATTATCTGTCATATCACTGCCCTGTATTTAAATAAACATTAATTTTTATAAATGTATTATTTCATCACTGTCCTAATTAACATGCACATTACTGTATCAGTGGAATACAACAGCAACACAAGTCATGAATTAGACACACACACAACATTAACATTACTCTGATCTACATCTGCTCATAGGTTGTAAGATTACCTCGTCTTATTTTGTCTTCTGTATATAATTCTGATAGGCTGAGAGACTGATTACCTTATCTTCTGCCTTCCCTTTATTCCCTGTATTGAACTGATAAAGCCACTGGATGGCGAAACGTCTTCAAAACAAAGATACCCAGATGTTATACATGTGCAAGTCATCACTGTTTCAGTTTTAGGATGGTTAATGTAACATGAATGATGCGGTGGAAGCAAACACTACACAGCTTCAAGAGTAGATACGACTTGCTCCAGAGTGCCAGAAATCAGTGAGAGACCATGTATGGTGAGAGGCATGTATGGTGAGAGGCATGTATGGTGAGAGGCCATGTATGGTGAGAGGCCATGTATGGTGAGAGGCCTGTATGGTGAGAGACCATGTATGGTGAGAGGCCATGTATGGTGAGAGGCCATGTATGGTGAGAGGCCATGTATGGTGACAGACCATGTATGGTGAGAGACCATGTATGGTGACAGACCATGTATGGTGACAGACCATGTATGGTGAGAGACCATGTATGGTGAGAGGCCATGTATGGTGACAGACCATGTATGGTGAGAGACCATGTATGGTGAGAGACCATGTAAGGTGAGAGACCATGTATGGTGAGAGACCATGTATGGTGAGAGGCCATGTATGGTGAGAGGCCATGTATGGTGAGAGACCATGTATGGTGAGAGATCATGTATGGTGAGAGATCATGTATGGTGAGAGACCATGTATGGTGAGAGACCATGTATGGTGAGAGACCATGTATGGTGAGAGACCATGTATGGTGAGAGACCATGTATGGTGAGAGACCATGTATGGTGAGAGACCATGTATGGTGAGAGACCATGTATGGTGAGAGGCCATGTATGGTGAGAGGCCATGTATGGTGAGAGGCCATGTATGGTGAGAGGACTGTATGGTGAGAGGCATGTATGGTGAGAGAGCCATGTATGTTGAGAGACCATTGTATGGTGAGAGACCATGTATGGTGAGAGACCATGTATGGTGAGAGACCATGTATGGTGAGAGACCATGTATGTTGAGAGACCATGTATGTTGAGAGACCATGTATGTTGAGAGACCATGTATGGTGAGAGACACCATGTATGGTGAGAGACCATGTATGGTGAGAGACCATGTATGGTGAGAGACCATGTATGGTGAGAGGCCATGTATGGTGAGAGACCATGTATGGTGAGAGACCATGTATGGTGAGAGACCATGTATGGTGAGAGACCATGTATGGTGAGAGGCCATGTATGGTGAGAGGCCATGTATGGTGAGAGGCCATGTATGGTGAGAGGCCATGTATGGTGAGAGGCCATGTATGGTGAGACATGTATGGTGAGAGGACCATGTATGGTGAGAGACCATGTATGGTGAGAGACCATGTATGGTGAGAGACCATGTATGGTGAGAGACCATGTATGGTGAGAGACCATGTATGGTGAGAGGCCATGTATGGTGAGAGGCCATGTATGGTGAGAGACCATGTATGGTGAGAGACCATGTATGGTGAGAGACCATGTATGGTGAGAGACCATGTATGGTGAAGCAGAGGAGGTGATAAAAATCATGACAAAAATTATACAACTGCAGGAGAGCTAGCAATGTTTATTATTATTATTATTATTATTATTATTATTATTATTATTATTATTATAATTATTATTATTATTATTAAACAAAAGTGGTTACATCAGCAGTGTGCTGCTACACTGTTATATCGTGGGAACACCCACAGTGCTGCTACACTGTTATATCGTGGGAACACCCACAGTGCTGCTACACTGTTATATTGTGGGAACACCCACAGTACTGCTACATGTTTATCGTGGGAACACCCACAGTCTGCTACACTGTTATATGTGGGAACACCCACAGTACTGTACACTGTTATATCGTGGGAACACCACAGTAGCTACACTGTTATATCGTGGGAACACCACAGTACTGCTACCACTGTATACGTGGGAACACCCACAGTACTGCTACACTGTTATATGTGGAACACCCACAGTACTGTACATGTTATATTGTGGAACACCACAGTGCTGCTACACTGTTATATCGTGGGAACACCACAGTACTGCTCACTGTTATATCGTGGGAACACCCACAGTACTGCTACACTGTTATATCGTGGGAAACCCACAGTATGCTACATGTTATATCGTGGGAACACCCACAGTACTGCTACAACTGTTATATTGTGGAGAACACCCACAGTACTGCTACACTGTTATATTGTGGGAACACCCACAGTAATGCTTACACTGTTATATGTGGGAACACCCACGTACTGCTACACTTTATATCGTGGGAACACCCACAGTACTGCTACACTGTTATATCGTGGGAACACCACAGTGCTGCTACACTGTTATATCGTGGGAACACCCACAGTGCTGCTACACTGT